CAGCACCCACTGAAAGCAGCCACGCTGGGTGGGAGCTAAGGCACATCCAGCCCCGCGTCTGGCAAGGCTGGGGGTCCGGAGGAAGCAGCACATGCAGGGGATGCCTGGGGAAGGGCACCGCAGGTCACGTCCCGGTAATTCCCCAGAATCGCCTCCCTGCCTTCAGCGGTTTACAGCCCAGGAGTTTCCTGGGTCAGGCATTATCCCTCTAGTTGGGATCTTTCCACCATGGACTTTGCAATCCCTGGAAAGAGGTGCACAGATGTGGCCCCTGTCCTGTCTCACTTGCCGGAGTGAGAGCCTGAGCCTGACACGATCCCACATGCAGTACGTTGCATTTACCTACGCTAAATTTTCTCTGCCACTCAGCAGTGCCTGCAGCCCCTCACAGAGCTCATCCCCCCTGGGGCAGCTCAGGGACAGCAGTGGGCATGGCTGCTTGTTCAGCTCTTGGTAACCACAAAGAGGGGCACAGGTCCCCGCAGAGACCCCACGCCACACCGGTGGGGACTTCTCTGTGTGACAAGAGCCACAAATTGACTCCTATTCTTGCTCCCTTTCTTTTAGTCAGTTATTTACCCATGCAGAGACTCCCTCTGTCAACCCCTGGGTGCAAAGTTGCTCCCACTGAGCCTCTGAAAGGGAATTTTCTGAATTTTCTCTGGAAACCCAAGCAGACAGCATCAGCCATATTGCCCACAGCATCCTCACTGGCTGCCGCCCCAGAGACCCTCCCATGGCAAACTCACGCTACCTCTTCCTCAAGTACCACATAACCACAAATTCTGCTCTTTATTTTGGCTTCTACTAACTTCCTGGTTCCCATTCGGGTTTACAGGTCTGTAACTCCCCACCCAGAAAACTTTTAGGAAAGTCGGAGCCCCAGAGCTGTCACTTCTGTCTGTGACATATAAAGAAACATCTGGGGGTGCAGAGCCCCTGCTGTGCTGTTCGCCCCCCACACTCCCGCTGCCAGCCATGCCCCCCACACCATCTCCCAGTGCCTCTGCCTTCCTCTCTCATCGCCTCTGTGCTGTTCTGCTTTCGCAGACCGGCTGGCTCCATTTCTGATAGGACTCCATCCATTTTCGGGTTGAGCCTCTGGCCAAGGGCACAGGCTAGTCCCTGTGCCTTGGGGAATGCTCGGACCCCACCAGCAGCCTCAGTTTCCCAGCCCGGAGATACAAGAGCTGCTCAAAACATCTTGCTAAATCTGCATTTGAACACAGGCAGGGAGGTGTGCAACCCCCTCATCTTATTCCCAGCAAAAAGTCGACTGTTTTAGCCAAAACTATAAATAAGAGCTAGACACCATCCTGATGCAAACACCCCATTACAGCAAATTTCCGTCCTAACAGTTTGTGAAGTCCCAAGCAGGGGGGAGCAGAGGTTGGGAGGGGCAGTGTGGGAGATCGCTGCCCTGGGTGAAATCCCCACCACTGGCCAGCCTGGGGAGGTGCTTTTGGTTTATACGGCCCAAAATGGGAGCAGGAGGCAAGAGCCCAGCACTGCCCTGTCTGCGGCGTGTCCTGGCAGTGCCTCTCAGCAAGACCCCACCGTGTGAGTGGCACCATGCTACTGTGGCGTGGTCTCGCCAAGCACCCTGGGAGGCTGCTGGAGAGGCTCCCCAGTGATACCTCCTCCCCAGGAGCCCACGGTGGGGGCACGAGGCTGGCACAACTCCCATGGGCTGCCCCCTGCCCTGGTTAATGATTTCCAGACCCCACTGCCTCCTCCACGGGCACCCAACTTCCTCTTGGACCTTGCCCTGCTCCTGGGCACTGTTCCCAGCACAGCCGCTGCCCACTGCCCATCCCTGCATGCCTCCCCTGGGGCTCAGCTGTGCTCCCCCAGCTGAACATCCCTCTCCTCTCCACCCCACTGGTGCCAACAGACCCCAAACCAATCCCTTGTGTCACTGCTGTCCCCCTGCCATGCCAGCTGGCACTGGGATTGCAAAGCGCAGGGCAGGAAGCTCCCACACGGACCCCGATGGCAGGCGGGGGGCTGCCTGCCGCCCCCCCCAGCTGCTCACCGTTGTGGCTGTTGTGCACGTAGACCACCTGGGCCTGCTCGGTTGGGGTGCGCCCCAGGCAGTAGAGGATCCCCACCAGGTCAGCCATGGAGAAGCCCCTGGCCTGGACGTGGTTGCTGCGATTGCGGTAGTTTTGGAAGCCCATCTTGGGGTGCGTCATGACGATCTTGTTCTCCCGCTCGATCTGCAGGTAGCTCACGTCACGGTCCCCCATGATGCAGGAGAGGAAGAAGTCGGAGTGGGACAGGCTCTGCACGTTCGCAATCAGGGTGATGTCCAGGATGGCCCCTGGGGTGGGGGAGCACGAGGGCATGTCACGACTGGACAAGGGCATGGCCATCTCCCTCAGGGCCAGACCCTGTCCTCCAGATGTCACCCCCTTTCCAGGACATTTTTGCCACCCCCAGCCCAGGAAGCACAGCCAGGACACAGTCACTCGGGTACAGACCCATCGGTGGGAATTTCCATTCTCCATTTGGAGATCCCCATGGGCTCATCCCCCCAGCATGAGCCAGGCGTGCATTTGGATGGGGATCCTGAGGTCCCTCTCTTCCCGCGAGCTGCCTGAACCCCAGCCCTGTGCAGGGGAGAGGCAGGCAGGGGAGGGCACTGCCAGCCTCTGCGGTCTCCAAATGGCCGATCACAAAGGGACATATGTTCCTTCCAAACCCTGCTCTGATGGCACCACCAAGCTCCCACAGCCACCTCGTCCCACCAAGCCTCTCTGGGGTGGGGCTGCTCCCTGGGGCAGAGGGAAAGGGGTGACTTACCTGCCAGCCCTGGGAGGAGAAGCAGAAGATAAACCTGGAGTCCCATGCCCTTGAAGCGTGTCCCGAATCTGGCACAGGTCAGAAAATCCCCAGCATGTTCCAGCCACAGGGGTCGGAGCTGGAGGCCGTGGATGCTAGGGGCTCCACATATGCGGCAGCTCAGGACCCCTGCTTCCTGCCCATGTGCTCCATCTTGCCTCTGCCCCACTGCTCGGTGTCTGGGGCAGCCGGGACCACCTCCTCTGGTGCATAGCCTGGGCACAGCGAGGAAGATGCCA